GAAGGAAGCGAAGGAGGATGAGGATGAGGATGAGGATGAGGAACAAGAACAGGAACAGGAGCAGCAGCAGGGGTTACATGATTAGATATACTTGGAAGAATGAGAGGTTGGAAGATGAGTGACAGTAAAAAAGGGAAGATGAGAGTGGGTTGTCCACCTGCACACGTTGTTGTTGTTCTTGTTCCTAATGGTGCTTCACTATATCCCATTCCTTACTCTGCATTTACTAGCAGGTTCCAGCTAAACCATGCCATAGCTGATGCACAACATATATATAGTACTTTTCCATACGAAATACTCAATCCAGTCTTATCTGTGTATATATACACAAAATGCACCCAATCAATGTACTGTTAGCAGGGGTTATTAATAATGGCAAATGAATGAAAAATTTATGATAACTTGTCATTATTAACCCCTGCTGTTAGCATGCGAGCGTGCAAATCCTACATACCATAATGGTACTGTACAAACATACACCACCGCCCAAGTAGCCAACAGCTAATAATACATAATAATAGCCTTTTATTATTATCTCTTGATGTAACTTATAGCACGCGTGTACTGTAGTCTGTAAATGTACCCTAGATGTGTAAATATGCACATAATGTACAGAACACATGCACTTTAACCGCACGCGAATGTGCGCGTAATGTACACTGCAAATGCAATGTGCGAAAGTTATAATATTGTACATCATACCAAGAGCTAATTTAATACCTTTGTACCTTTATACCTTAATACCTAAAGGTATTATTAGCTCTTGATCATACCTGTACCGAAGACATACCACTACTATTATAGTACTATATTATTATTAATATATAATTACTACTAATACTATACGGGCAGATAACGTACAATAATCACTTGAGCTATTCATACACGCATGTAAATGACTACAACGTAATTATATGTTAACCGATAAGTCAACTCAAGTATCCACACACACGCATGCTTCTGCTATTGCGTTCTGTCAACTACGAAAAAAGAACTAAATCGATACCGAAGAGAAATTCTCGGGTCTGCTTGTGCCTTCGGATGTGCTCGTTACTATTTTGCTGGTGATGTGCAAATGTTGCTGCCGCCAGCATGAATATTGTATCGTCTACATGCACACAAACGCTCGGGCTACAGTACAGATAAAACCGAATTCTTTCGCAATTATTCGGAACGCTATTGTAGGGAATTCATCGCAAATAACACCGGAATGGATTATAATGAACGCAGAGCGTCACAGAAAGGTCAGCCTTGAGCCCGAACTCGTGTATGTAGACCTAACCCAGAGTTCACTCGGAGTAGGTAGGCTAGCAACAATACCGCGCACCTACCTATCTATGCGCCAACAGTACGACGGACAGAGAAGAGTCTGATACCCCCCTCGACACACACACGCACGCACGCACGCACGCACACACACACACTCGCACTCGCACACGCACACGCACGCACGCAAGTTTACGCAATCAAGTTTACGCAATCACGCACGCACACAAGTTTACGCAATCATCTTCTCTCGGGTCAAACACGGAATTCCGCTGCGGAAGGGGGAGGCACGGAGGAAGGACGGGAGCAGTGGCAGCAGAACGCGCGTCTAATACAACGCAGCAGACGGTAAATATAATATATCACATAGAGGAGGCTGGCTACATGCACCCACATCACGTCTCCTCTCTGGTCAGAGCGACAGAATTCAGCTTGCGAGAGCTCTCATGTGCGAAGGGAGGGTGGTAGCCATGCTAACAGTACAGAGCTCTGTGTACATACATCCACTCAGCCCACACACTACAGGAAGCTGATAACATCCCCCCCCCACACACACACCATGCCCCCCATCTGGTCAGTTGCTCAGCTGTGAGAAAGGAGGAGAGGTACGAGGTGAGGGTGAAGGAGCTAGGGCAGCAGTGTAGGGTTGTCTACTACGCAGCTCACGTACTATAGCACTAGCAGGGGTAAAAATGAACTTTTGAACAACTTTTGGACTCCCTGCCCTCAAAAAGAGGGAGTCCGCAGCAAAATGAGATGCAGCCTCCCTCACACCAATTTCACACCAATCCGTGGTCTGAAATTCAAAATTAAAGATTTGCTGAAAAAATACTGTAATTCTGCGAGGCCGTGCTCTTGAACGAACTAGTTAGTATCTAGCAGAATTAATTTTCAGGGAGTCACACGGACTCCTGCATATTTCAAATCAGGGAATATTTGACTCCGGACTCACGAGGTGAAGGCCGGTGGAGGAGCTAGGGCAGCAGTCTAGGGTTGTCTACTACGCAGCACACGTACTATAGAGAACACAGCTGCGGTGACAGCACCCACGTCACGTCCGCCTCTGATCAGCTACTAAATGTAGAACTCTGCGGGAGGGAGAAGTACTGGGAGAGAGAGACTCGGGGCGGGCGAGGTACTGGGAAAGGGAAGGAGATTCGGGGAGAGGGAAGTACTGCGGGGGTGGGGCGAGCAGAGGCGTGGGCCGCTACAGCTGGGTCCGCCACCTATCCGGTGCCGAGCGAGGCCGAGAACTAGAACTGGTTATATGTTAGGTGGCCTTTGGTAGCCGGCTGGCTGCACAGCCCGCGGCCACTGCCGCTCCACTCAATTCCTGTTTTCTGCTGTTTTTCTCCGCCGGTCGCAAAATTAGGTAACTTCAAGTCCGAGCAAGGCAGCTGTGCAGTGTGCACTCGGCATAAAAAAGAAGAAACAGCGACGTAGAAAAATATTCGTGAATTTGTTACCGGCGCAAGGTTTCTCGGAACGAATTGACAATATTTAAAATTAAATATTTTGTGTAATTTTTTGGGTACACACAGAAGGGATAGGAATTTCTTTAAGAAAAATATAAAATGGGAACTTGTTCTCGTATATATGTAGTTGCAAGTAGTGCTGGTCACCATCCATAGCAGACATGCTCCGCATCAAAACGCTTGCATTAAATTTCTCGGGGCAAGTTCCAAGTCAGGCGCCAAACACTGGACAGTGTTATCATTCAAGGAAGAAACACGTTTTAATTTTTAAAAGCAAACCTAAGCGTTGAATGCCGCATAGGCCAAAATCTTACCGTACGACGAAAACAGGTTTGCGCGTCTTGGTCACCAAGTAATAGATTGGACAGTTTTACCAACAAAAGCCAGGTTTAGGCCAGACATTTATTGCCAATCAATGTTTTTTTTATAACCGACTGTATGCGCATGCTACATACTGTCAGAGCGCATTATTTTCATTTCTAGTAAAAGGGCATACAACTTAAAAACCTGGCTATAATGGGAACATACGTAACAGTATGTACCAATTTGTCATTTATGCAAAGTGTGTGTGCATGCAAACGTATTAAAAGCTGGGATCAGTGGTGCATATTTTTCCATGTTACATAACAAAATAATGATATTCTCATCTGGCCGAAGAATCACGTTCTAGGCATGTCGAAATGTTACGCTGTCGTAGCAGTTTTCCGAATCTTTCCACAAGTTTCTCTACCCTCTTAGAATTCCTATATATCGAGTTGGAACCCCGTTGTAACAGCAGTTTTTCAGCGGAACGTTGGAACAGCAGTTTTTCAGCGGAACGTTGGAACAGCAGTTTTGTGAATGGAACGAACTCGCGTACGCGCGCATGATACGTACCGTTGCTCGACTTCAGGTTTCGAACCTTCTTTCGTTTTCGAACGAAACAAATTCGCATACGATTATCTCAATTTCGAACCTCGTTGGAACAGCAGTTTTTGAAAGGATCTAATTCGCGCATGCCCGTGTATTACGTATATTCTTCGTATTTACGCTTACTCGCGCGTGTAATACGTACCGTTGCTCGACTTCAGGTCCCTGTGTATGAGCGTGATGGGCGCCTCCACGTGCAGGTAGTTCATGCCCTCCGCGATCTGAATCGCCCAGTCGACGAGAATGTTCGGAGGTATTCGGCGGCCATTAAGCACTCGGCTAAGCGACCCGCCGCGTGCGTACTCCATCACCAGGCACAGGTTCGGTTCCTTGAGGCAGACGCCCTTCGACTCGACGATGTTCTTGTGTTTGAGCAGCGAGAACAGCTTCGCCTCCTGGCGGACGTTCTCGACGGTCACCGACATCGGTTCGTCGGGGTCGTGGCGCGCCGCTTTAATAGCGACCTCGTCACCACGCCACGTGCCGCGGTACACCTTCCCAAACCCGCCGACGCCGATCACCTCCGACAACACTAGGTCTTCGAAGAGGATCTCGAACGGCCAGTTGTCGTCGACGGGCGGCGAAACGCCGTTCGCCTGCGTGACGAAGTTGCTCGGGAAGATGCCCACCTTATTGCCAATTCGGCCCGTCCACCAGCCCTCGTCCCCTGAGATTTTGCTGTCCTTGGACAGAACTTCTAGCTGCTGGCCTCGCCGCAGAGTCAGCTCGTCGTCGCCCGTCGCATCGTAGACGAACACGACCGTGTACATCATCCGCGACGACGCCTCGGCCGGCTCGCTCGAGAAGCTGCCGGCGGAACTCACCGTGCTCACGGTGCTGTCGACTCGAGAGAAGCCGTTCGAGCTGTGCGTCGGACTCGTGAGAACATGCGTCGGGCTAGACGCTGCCGCCGCCGCCGCCGTGGGGCTCCGGCGGGGGCTGGCGAGAGCACCGACTGGACTGCGGCGCAGCGGGGACGTCACGCCCCCGCCCTTGTGCGCCGGACTTGTGGCTGCGGACGAGCTCTTGTGCGCCGGGCTTGTCACGCCCCCGCCCGCACCCTTGTGCGCCGGGCTTGTCACGCCCCCGCCCGCACCCTTGTGCGCCGGACTTGTGGCCGCGGACGAGCTCTTGTGCGTCGGGCTTGTCACGCCCCCGCCCGCACTCTTGTGCGCCGGACTTGTGGCCGCGGACGAGCTCTTATGCGCCGGACTTGTCACGCCCCCGCTCTTGTGCGCCGGACTCGTGGCCGCGGACGCGCGCGGGGAGGCGCCAGCGTTCGTCGTCGACGTCACGACGGTCCTTCGGATGGGACTCGTCACGCGCCGTGCGACGTCCTGACCCTGAGAAACGCCCGCCGCCGCCGCTGTTCGCGCCGGACTGTCCTTACCGGCGCCCCCTGTCTGCGGCGGAAGCGGGCCGCCTCTCGCGACGTGGCTCGCCACGGGCGGGCTTCGCGTCCTCCTAAGTTTCACGCCTGCAATCGTTGTTTGGCTCGGCTGTTCCATCAGGAAGGGAACGTCGACTGAAAGACTTGGCATTGGCTGGTGTCTCTAGTACCTACACTCTTATGTGAAGGCTCTTGGAGAGGCTGGAATAAAGAGCTAGATGTAAAACAAGGGCCGAGTAACGATGGTCGAATGAGACAGGTGATAAATTCTTGATTAAAACTGTATATATGACTGACTATCACTGAAACACACACACATGAACCATATCTGTAGAATGATATGTGTCAAGTGAGCGGGTTCTGCAAACAAACATATATTACTTTGCGAAAATAAAAGAATGAAAGAAGTAACTTGCAGTATTACGATATAAATAATGAAACAGTGCAACTTACGTATCAAAATAACTGGCTGGCAAACAATCCACCACATGTGTTCAGTCGTTACTGTACGTTTCACTCGTTATTGTTATATGATCCCTAACTAATATAAACGAATCCGAAATCGCTGAATGTTCCGTGCCAATACTGGTACGGTGATACGTTTACTGCAGTGTGGTTTTGGTATACGTGCCACCTATAGGGCCTACTAGAAGACAATCATAATCAATCCAAGGTTAACCAACACGTAAAAACTAAAAGTATACACCACGTGATTTTAAACTATAAATCGCGTGTGGTTTTGGCAAGAAAGTATTTATAAGTTTTACCAACATGTGCACGCTAGAGCTTTTCATGATTGCACCTCCCCGAATAGTATCTTCGACAGCCTTTTGTTGTACATCGTTACTCCCACACACCGATAGTTTCCGCCATATTGTAGCACTTTGACCTCGTTCAAAACCGGGTGCGGTAGCCTATTCGACTTCGAGAGAGTGCGAAGTTGTGCAACAAATATCGAAACAGCATTTTGTAAAAAAAAGAAATATGATTTATTTATGACAGTACGCGACTATCTAATTTATTTGTGAGGTAAGCAAATAATGAAACACCAATTAATTAGACAAATTTACTCGGTACATAATGCGATCATGCGTCGATTTACAAGACATAAATAGTGTTTTGGCGACATCTCTCGGATTTAATTTCTAATAACGGCGCTCTAATAAATAATCTTCGTCTTCGACGATGTAGTCGTTATTAGAATTTGAAGACTAAACAATTGGAGGTTATAAGGTCCTATAGGATGAGCAAATTCCTAGAGGGGTGGAGAGGCAAATTTTCCAAAAATAAATCAAATTTAGTACCGGTATAGGATTAGCGTTTATCGTGTATAATCGTGTTTTTGTACTTTGTATTTGTTTTTGTCCATTGTTTTTGTAACATTGTTCCATTATTTATTAAATGTATTTTTCTAGATTACTTGCGATTAATACTTAAGCTTGTATTTTAGACTAAGACTGCTCTAAAATCTAGGTGGCAGCAGACGGGAATGGCGGGATGCTGAGCAGAAGTCAAATAGTATATAGCATTACTTTAGTATAGTTAATATAGTATTAGTATCATATCCTGTATCATATAATATAATATAGTATTAGTATCATATCTGTAGTATAGATCAGACTGCACTGACTGAGGAGGACTCCTAGACTGAAGGAGCTACCATCCGATGCGCTACATCCAACTCAAACCTAATGACAACCAATGCAAGCACAGCTTCTTTACAAAAACCATCAAGAATTGAAATGGACTACCATCAAGCCTACTAGAAATGTGAGATTATGAACTCTTCAAGAAGAACTTGGTCTCCCTCTTCTCACCGCCATAATGCATACCAATTAACTGCTTTTAATACTGTGCACATTCGAAAAAATATGAAAGTAATTTTTGAAGTATATTACTTTCCCCACTAACTAGCGAACAGATGAATTGGCAATACCCACTATTCAAGTCAGCACTGAAGATAGGCAATCACCTGAATCAGTAATTTCATGCGATCGATTGATTGATTTTGCTTGGTCAATCAAACCATGCTACTGAAATTAAACGTGATGAGCGAGTCTATAGATCATATACCCAGTACATCCGTGTAGGCGGTGTGGTTCTGATTCGATCACGATTGTGCGTGCGTGCGTTCGTGCGTGCATGTGTGGGTGTGTGTTTGGCATGCGTGTGTGAGTGCGTGCGCATGTGTGCGTTTGCGTCTGTGCGTGCAAGTGTATCTAGGTGTGTTGGTGCGTTTTTTTCATTCGTCAGAATTCCCACTGGTAGAAGGATCCTCGTGACTAATCTTACGATGATCCATATATATATTATTATGTGATAGTAGTTTTATAATTTTACTTTTGGGTAATCCACCTTTCCATTTTCGCGACAGCAATTGAATAACATGGGGTTTAGTGGATAAACTAGCATCATGGGTGCGTGCATGCGTGCGTGCGTGCGTGTTGTGTTAGGGCCGGGCCCTAACAGTTAGGCAGATTCCCGCTCCATCGTCATGGATAATTAACATACCTATTCTAGGATTGCTGGATAAATGTGTGAAAAATAATTGTGTTTTTAGCTTTGTGATTTCAAGAACCAATAGTGATAGCAACAGTACAATATCGGTCCGCTTACTATATTGTAAAATTTATCTTAGTAGTATATGTATGAAGAAGACCGATCATTCAGTATCTGAACCAACATTGCATCGTTACAAAAGCGCATTAACCCCGGGGTTAATGCGCTCTTGATCGTTATATATAATGCTTCCTAAAACGACTGTTGCAATTGTTATACATGGTTTGACGCACTAATTGTCTAGCACCTCGCATTATATTAAAATAATAATAGGAATCACGCTTTAATGGTTTAAGGAACCATGGCTGTTATTATTTTTCCATGTTCGGAAATAATCAAAACTAAAAAAAAATCGACAACCGATAAGTAAGCAGTAATTGTTGTCTTGGCAACGCGCGCGAGCTTTCACAATTCCACGCTACGCTCTCAGAGCAAGCGAGGCGTTCTCGCGTGCGATGACGTCAGCGTAGATACTCCTCTCTTGCAGCTCCAGGCGCCCCTCCTCGATACTAGAAGCGACGAACCTCATGTCCGCGGGAATCGGCGCGGTGAGCGACGGTGGCGGCACCTCGGCGTCGCGACGCGGACGGAACCAGCGGCAGTTCATCACCGCCTGTAAGCTGGGTCTACTCTGGTACTCGAAGCTCAGCATGTCTTTGATGAGCGTCTTGCAGGCGCTCGACAACCGCCGTCGGCCCCACGTGAGGCGCAACGATCGCTGCGTGGCGACAATGGCGCTATTGCTGCCGACGTGCTCGTCGAATGGCATGCGACCTGTGACGACGATGTACGCGATCACGCCTAGCGCCCACGTGTCGGCCTTCCGCGGATCGTACGGCTGACTGAGTAGTATCTCGGGCGACGCGTACGCCTTCGATCCGCAGTAGGTACTCGACAGCTCCCCAGCGCCCAGCGACTTGCTGAAGCCGAAGTCGCAGATCTTGACGTTGTGGTGACAGTCGAGCAGCACGTTCTCCAGCTTCAGGTCGCGGTGGGTGACGTTGTGGTCGTGCAGGTAGGCAACGGCCGACGCGAGCTGCATAATCCACTTGCGAGATTGGAACTCGTTGATGGCGCCGCTTGACTGCACGAGTGTGAGCAGGTCGCCGTTGCAGGCGTGCTCCATGACCATGTACAGCTTGTTGTGCCCCTTGTCTTTGACGTAGCAGTTCATCCTGGCGGGGTCAAATGCGGTTAATAATATATTGCACTATTATTATTATTATTATTAAATTTTATGGCATGTAATTCAAATACATATACATGTATTAAAGACAGGCTTTTTCATGGAGAAAAAATCTGATAGATGCAATATAGTGTTGAGTAGTTACATTAATAAAATTTCTGAGTGACAACTACGTGCGCGCGAGATATTTACAAATGGTGTCGTATTTTTATATTCTATAAGAAGCGAAATGCACGGGAGAACTCGATAGCACGAAGTGATGATAAAACCCGTAAAAATCTCTGCGATGAATAAACGATTGTGCGATTGTTGTTTAATTATTATGTGCGATAATATCATGAGTGTATGATATAGAATATAGTATCTATATTATACACTCCTGGTAATATACAGAATGTTCTACGTTGTCGATAACATTGTACGCATGCGCGCATGACCGTACGTTTCTCTGCAACACTCCCAGCTATATACGAATATTACGCGAACTTTATATTATGCGCAGAGGAGACACGTATTAGGTTTAAATAAGCAGAATATTTCGATTTAAAAAGCCATGCGATGTTTGACACATGCGTTGCTATACCTGATTATATGCTGATGCTTTATTCTGCCCCAGATTTCTAGCTCTCTTGGAAGGAACCGCGTCAGGAAGTCTTTCGGAGCAGAGGAGCAGTTGATGATCTTTATCGCTACCTCCCCGGCGATTCCAAGCACATCCCTTGCCACTTTCACTTTCGAGTAGTTGCCCGAGCCGATCGTTTTTCCTAGGA